ATGCTCTAAAGAACTTTCAAATATGGAGGGAGTCGTACAGTACCTGTCACACGTGATGCACGGGGAATTACCTCTCATATATCATTATGTACTAAGCATATTGGAATGTGATAAAATTGGGAAAATAAATAGGCCTTTGAAATAAATATGTAAATGAAAATCCATATGAATTATAATATAAATAAATGTTTTACAACTTTTGAAAGATTTCTTGGTATACAAACATTTTTTATTTTATTAATTTTCATACCATCTTGGTCACATACTTCCGAGGAATACAACCTTCGAGACCGAATATACACATCAGGACACAAAGGAATGATATCTCACATGGGTGAGGGCCATCCCACTAATGTGCACCTCTCAAAGGTAGACCATTGGTGGTTAGATGACTTATTGAGGCTTTGAGGCAAAGAGGGGATGGGAGGATGTTGAGGTTTGAATAGTGTGGGTTTCAGTTGGTCAATTTGCACCTCTTAATGGTCATCCATTGGTAGCTAGGTCAACCATTAGAAGGCGTTTACTTCGCTGCTAAAGTGACAATTAGGTTAGTAAGACAGGTGAAGTAAACACACACTTTTTTTTTGATAATTAAGTGTTCTTATTAATGAAAAAGAAAGTACAAAAACGAAGCAAGGAAAAAAACAAAGAAAATAACGAAAGAGTAAATAAAAAACCAACCCACAGTACAATAACCCCCCCTAATAAGAGTAAACACACACTGACACACGCTACTTAAAAAGTCGCTCACTAACCGAAATAGGTGCTTAAAGTGACGCTTACCAAGCATATCACCCCCCATGTATTAATTAAGCGGCACTTTAAGCTTTTTCACTTTCCGAATTTACCCCTTGCCCATATCCTTATTGTTACCCCCTACCCGCCCTACACCCCAAACCCGACCCGACCCTACCCCCCATCCATCCTTGTACCTTACCCCTACTCGACCATTACCCCACCCCCACCCCGCGTACCCCTTTTCCCTACAATGACCCTACCACCCCCACCTCGGCCCCGCGTACCCCCACCCCCCACCTCGGCCTCGCCTCGATCCATACCCTACCCGGCCCCACCCGATCTCGACCCCACCCCCACCCTACCCCTACCTTACTCCGACCCCAACCTCGCCCACCCACCCACCCCAAACCTAGGCACTTTCCACCTTACCCCAACCCCCTACCTCCACCACATCGGCCCTACCAGACCCCACCATATCCTATCTTGCCCTACTCCTACCCTACCTTACCTTACCCTGACCCTAACCCCTACCCGACCCCTTACCCACCTCCACCCCCAAACCCTAAGCCCTTGCCACCTACCCCAACCCTACCACATCGGCCCCACCCTAACCCCCTAGGGGCCCCCTCCTGCCCCAACCCCTTATCACATCAGCCCCACCCCACCCTACCCTACTCCCTAACCCCAACACCACCCTACCCTACCTTACCTGACCCCATCCTACCTCTACCCTACCTACCCGACCCCACCCCAACCTCTTAGGCCCCTTACCATACCGCCCTAACACATTGGCCCTAACCCTGACCCCACCCTACCCCTACCCCATGCCATTACCACCCTACCCTAGCGGGGCCCACCCCGACCCCACCCTGTCCTACCCTACCTTACCCGACCCCACCCCTACCCTACCCCCTAGGCCCTTAACCACCCTTACCCCAACACCCTACCACTACCACATTGGCACCACCCCGACCCCACCCCTAACCCCTTTACCCCCCTTAGCACCTAACCCAACCCCCTACCATGTCGGTCTCACCTCCGACCCCACCCTACGTGGGGTGGGATGGTGGTAGGGTGGGCCAGGATCTGGGTGGAGCCAAGGTAGGAGCATCTGGTAAGGGTGGTAGGGGTGGGGTAGAGTGGGGTGGGGTTGGGGTTGAGATCGGGGTGGGGCCGAGGTAGGGGCAAGTGGTGTATTGAGTGGGGTTGGGTCGTGGTTAGGGGTAAGGATGGGAGATTATGGGTAGGGTGGGGTCGGGGTTGGGGTAAGGTAGGAGTAGGGGCCTGGGGTCGGGGTAGGGTAGGGTATGGGTAGGATTAGGGTAGGATATGGTGTTATGGTAGGGGGTTAGGGGGGTAAGTGCGGTGGAAAGGGCCTAGGGGTAGGGGCGGGGTCGAGGACGGGGTAGTGGTGGGGTCAAGGTAAGGTAGGGTATGGTAGGGTAGGAGTATGGTAGGTTAGGGTGGGGTCGGGGTGGAGCTGATGTGGTAGGGGTAGGGGTGGGGTGGTAAGGGCCTAGGGGGTATAGGGTGGGGTTGGGGTAAGGTAGGGTGGGGGTAAGGGGTTGGGGGTATGGGTACACATAATACTTGTGTTCATGAATGTTTGTGTGTCTATATATGTATAGGGTTATTTTGGACATTTTAATGCTAAACGATATTTTAAACCTTTTGAAGTAAACACGATCTTACAATGTTGTTTATTTTATGCGCCGCTTATTAACGCGGATCTCAGTAAGCACCGTTTAGTAACCCGTGAAGTAAACATGTCCTTAGTGTTTTTATTTCTTACGCGTGGAAACTAGTATAAAGCTGAGTGATATTTCAATGCTTCCTTACAAAATAATGAACACTTGCTTTTAGTAAAATAAATTTATAAGAAATTTAAAATGTGATAAAAATCTCTTATAAATTTACTTTTCATCAAATTGTTATTTTGACTGCAAGTTGGTCTTTTGTTTAACTGTTTTGTGCTAAGAGAAGAGAGAATTGGATTTCGGATGAGTTTAACTGAAAACCCAGTTTTCAGTTGGCTGCCAAGGATTTCGGCAGACTGCTGATTTCTTGTGTTTTCCAGCTAGCGCATTCTTAACAATGTATACCAGTTAACTCTTTTCGTACCTTTTCTTTTTTATCTTTTTCTTTTCGTTTTATGGTACGTTTACTTCTCTTTTTAGCACTCTTTGCTTTTTATGAGTACTTTACCACTAAATATGGAGCACATTACAAATAAACAAAGTAGAACATAAGTAGTAGTCTAGTCTAATACAAGGATAATAAAAAGTGGTGACATCATCAAAACTATTATATTATAATCATCAAAATCTAGGGGACCTAACATTTACTAATAACCCCCTGAGGTTATGCCATACTTATTAATGCAATTTTGTATTTTCAAAAATCAATTAGTTACCCCCTGAGTTTAGATCATTCTCGTTCTTTGCCCCCCTCACGTTAATATTTGTTAACTTTAAATTTAATATAATTCTTAAATTCAATGAAAAACGTCTATAAAATAATTTTTTAATGTAAAACACAAATTATTATCATAATTACAATCCATTGTTGTTGATTGTTATTTTTCTACTTAGCTACTCCATCATGGAATAGATATTATTGAGAGGAATTAAGAGAAAATACTCACGAGTAAAATATAAAAATATCATGAGTTTTTAATAATGTTATTTTAAAAAATTAAATATCATTTAATCTTATAAAACTAATATACTTTTTGCAGCCAAAATAACTTTTGTAAGGATATAATCATCACAAATTAGTAACAGAGTTAATAAATATTTTAAATAAATTAAAATCTACGATATTTTAGGTCTAGTTTTCAATTATATATTTAGATCATGGAATAATTGGAATAATCATCACACATGTTGTCTTTTAGGTCCCTTAATGATACTAAACCTATCTTTTAGGTCATGCAATGATAAAAAAATCTTGGTATTTCTTCTTTGTTACACACGAAATAATTAAACGTCATTGCGATTAATTCAACCGAATGAATTACAAATAAGACTTTTATATTCATAATGAAAAAGTGTCTGAAATTTTGATAACACATTTTATAAACATTTCTTTTTATGTATTGTGATAGCAAGATAGAGGAGCGGCAATGGCATGGGGAAACCCTAGCCGCCTCCTCCTCCTTTTCTCTTCTTTTCTTCTCTTCTTTCAATGTTCTTTGATTTCAGTAATAGAAAAACATCTTCTTAATCAGTGCTTTCAGTTTTATTCACCTGTTTCTTTCCCAATGTTGTTTGGAGGTATTATTTTCGGTAGCGGAATATCGTCTGCCAGATCCATATTCCCCGCCACTTTCGGTCGGGCGTTCTTGTGTGCTAAGAAGAGATTTGAACTGATATCTTCATCAATAAAAAACATGACTTTCTTCTGCGCCAAAATTGAGACGGATCGCCCCCTCCTGAACCACCGCCGTTCCAGGAAGATGAGATCATTTGGATTGCTTTCTTTTTGGTGGGTGGTGAAACCGGAACAAATTCTACAGTTGGCTCCTTACCTGGAGAAACCGGGATGTTTAAGAGTTCTTTTGATAATTATTGTGATCGTAGCAGGAACAATCAATCTGCGGGTAGAGTCTACTTCTTTGCGGGATTAGCGATTCGGCGTTTTCAATTAGAACCGTCCATTTCTACGTCTCATCCCATTGTAACCTAGAGCTTTATGATTGCAATGTTTCATGTCATCTTCATTAATAATAATTAAGTTATTTATTTAAAAAACATTTCTTTTTATGTATTCCGTGAGTATGACTCGTGAGTCCTCCCCTTAACTACTCCCATTTATAGTTACTCCACGATCGAGTAGTTAAGTAGAAAAACGAATGATCATCAACAATGATTTATAATTATGATGATAAAATGTTTTATTTTTAAAAATTAATTTTATATACACCTCTTATTGGATTTAAGAGGTATATTAAATTTAATTTAACAAATATTAACGTGAGAGGGTGTATAGTGAGAATGATTAAAACTTAGGGAGTAATTAATTGATTTTTAAAAATGCAAGGTTGCATCAACAATTATGATATAACCTCAGAGAACTAATAATAATTTCCTCTTTTTTTATTTTATTTTATTTCATGGTTACCCACTTACCCGTTTGGCTAGGAAGAGCAAGAAAAATTGAGGGATGTTTTTTAATTGGAGTAATTAATTAACACTAATGCTGGTAAGATTCTCTTAGAAGATCTGATTCTCTTCAAAACTTCTTTTTAACTGTTAGCAAGTCAATTGTCTCATCGCCAACCACACTGATAACTCCATCCTTCCTTTTTCTTCTAGTAGTATTTCTTGATTGGCCACCACATTACTTAACCCAGTTTACACGATCCATTAAGCAACACCACAATATTAGAAACTTGATTACCCTCTGCAAAGACAGCTATTTGCTGTTGTAAATTGGTTTGATTTTCACCGTCTTTAGGAGGTGGCAGGTGGCTGTGTAAATACTCAAAACCTACGTTTCACTGAAAACGGAAAACCTGCATTGGAGAATTTACCAAAATTTGCTATTGAGAAGAGATTCTTTGTGGGGAGGGTCCTGGGGATGTGGGTACTTTGCCACAGGCTCTCTTGGGCTTGTTTGGCAAGAGATCTATGATTGGGTGATAAAAAAGAAAAGACATGGTGGTGGAGTTTCTGAGATCTGCGGTCTAAGTATTACGCTTTGAATCATCTCTTCGCAAGGTACCACAAAACTTAAAAAAGGATGTGATATTTCTTGTCACATTCACTTGTTTTCTGTGTTTTAAGCGTGTTTTCCTTTCATAGCATTTGCTAGTCATCATCTTTTGTGGGAAATATGCTTTTGATTGAAGTAAGAAACAACTTTAATTGCCTCATCTATAAACTTTGCATTTGAACAAATTATAGGTGTATTGGTTGGGCAGAGCTTCAAACTAGGGGACTCATGACATTTTTTTTTTACTTTTGCATATCTGAAGGAAGCAGATTTATTTTTGAAGAGATATTATGGTTATATTTGGATTGTTATTTAATATCTCAGCTTCTAGTTTATATGATCATCTCTGTAATGTATATGTGCAGGATATTTTTGGCATATTAACTGATGGCTTCTGATCTAAACAAGGGATTATCTGAAGAAACGGCTGTTGGCCTAAAAGTATGGGAACTGATTGGGATTGTAGTAGGTTTGTTGATTGTAATAATCCTCTTAGCATTGGCCTTCTATCTCACTCTAAGAAAGAAATCAAGAAGACCCAAAGACCATCTTCCCATTTGTCAAATCCCTAGCGTTTCCAAAGAAATCCAGGAGGTTCTGGTGGAGCATATGCCAACAAATCATTTTTCTCCTCGAGATGGGGTTCTTCATACTATTCATGATAAATCTGGTCATAAAGATTCAGACAAAGTTTTGGTTCATCTCAGTTTGGGGAAAACCAAGAGTGTGGATAATAATAACAACAATATCAGTCTTTCAGGTTCTTTTCACCTCGTGGAAAAAGAATTTGGTGGATCCCATTCAGGAGAAGAAGGGTCTACGGGTGCGTTTTCCGGTTACAAACCTTGTACATCTCATCCAATTGCTGCACCTTCTCCATTAAGTGGGTTGCCTGAGTTTTCTCACTTGGGGTGGGGCCACTGGTTTACGCTACGGGACCTTGAACTTGCCACAAATCGTTTTTCCAAAGAGAATGTTCTTGGTGAGGGTGGATATGGTGTCGTTTATCATGGGCAACTGATCAATGGAACTGAAGTAGCTATTAAAAAGCTCCTCAATAACCTGTGTGTTAATTCTAACCTTTTGGTCAATTTTGTGCCGGTCAATTTTGTGCTCTTATTTGTATTTCTGTTGCAGAACATTTTCCACTTTTGGCTTCATGATATCAATTCTTTTTCGCTTTTGGTCCACAACTTTCACTTTTCCAGTTTTGATGCATCTGCTTGGACTTCTTGCCACTTTTTTGTCCATTTAAGTTCACTTATTTGGCAATCTATTGGGTGGAGCAGATTTTAAAATTTTATCCAAAAATACGAAAATACTAGATTTCCAAACCAAAGTGACAATGAATCCATTTTCCTACACGAACAAGGGGAAAAAGTGAAAGTCGTGGATGAAAAGTGGGAAGGTCCTAATAGTCGTGGGACACAAAAACCGAAAAATTTTCTTGTGTTGTATTTTCTTTACATATATGAGTTCAGTTTTTCTTAGTGCAGTGGTCAAGCAGAGAAAGAATTTAGAGTGGAGGTTGAAGCGATTGGGCATGTGCGCCATAAGAATTTGGTTCGTCTTTTGGGATACTGCATTGAAGGAACACATAGGTTTTGCTTTCTATCCTCCTCTTAGTCACAAAATAGTTTTTCTTCTCAAAACGTGCGTGAACTTTAATCCGTAAGCCCATAACCTTTGTTTTTGGAGTTTATGATGGTATAGGTGTGTATATGACTATATGAGGTGTGTAAGATCTTTATTGCCTTTTATAGATTCAGTACTAGTGATTGCTACACTTTTAGGTTGACATTGCATCAAGGCATCATTTTTGTTTCACCCAAGGTATTTTTATCTGAACCAGACGGGCCAGAAAATCGCTATGGGCAGCACAGTAAACTGGTGCTGGAGTGAAAAGGTTACACACGTAAAAAATCTGGTTTAAATAGTGTGAATCAGCAAATGAACAATTTCACACTGTTTGATTTTTTCTTTAGCCCAGGCGATTGTTTTCATGGACCCCTCCAGTTCAGAATACGCTATTGTTAGTTTTTTTTTCTTCCGATTTTCTACCACTGACCCCCCCCAACCTGACTGTTGAATAGTTGAACCTGTACAGTTAACAGTTCAATTACTGGTCTGGTTTTTTCAATACCTTGGTTTTACATATCTAGTAATTCATGTACTCATGTACTGCAGGATTTTGGTTTATGAGTATGTGAACAATGGAAACTTAGAGCAATGGCTTCATGGAGCTATGCACCAGCATGGATATCTAACGTGGGAGGCAAGGATGAAGGTTCTCCTAGGCACAGCAAAGGCGTAAGTAAATTTGACTTCAGCCGACTGGACTCATTTAAACCGTCGTTACTCTCTTTTCAGTTGTGCTTTTCTCTATTCCACAGCCTTGCGTATTTGCACGAAAATATTGAGCCAAAGGTGGTTCATCGGGACATCAAGTCAAGCAATATACTCATAGATGGCGAATTCAATGCAAAGGTCTCTGATTTTGGTCTTGCTAAGTTGTTGGGAGCCGGGAAAAGCCACATCACTACTAGAGTCATGGGCACCTTTGGGTCAGTTTTTCATTATCATTCTCCAATAGAGAAATTTACCGAAAATAGGAGTAAAAACTTGGTGGATTCCCTAGATAGGAGTGCAATGTTTTTTTTCCTTAAATAGGAGTAAAGTAGTGTCATCGTGAAATCATTAGGCCATATTATACAATTACTTGACATTAGTATGCAGTATCAATGCCATCATTTGACATAAATTTTTAGGATGACAATAATGACTCCTATTTAAGGAAAAATGGTAGTACTATTCATATTCATTTTTTAGAAAAAAAATACACGAATTTGTGGTGTGTCGGACTCGATGACGCCCCCGCCCTGGTACAGTTATAAAAACATAACTTATTATTATGCAAAAAACGACAGATATGTGGCTCCTGAATATGCAAATTCTGGCCTCTTGAATGAAAAGAGTGATGTTTATAGCTTTGGTGTTGTATTGTTAGAGACTATCACAGGACGCGACCCAGTGGACTATGGACGTCCTGCTCAAGAGGTACCTTATTATGGAGTTCTAATGCATATTACTCTAATTATGCACTAGCATTTAGTTTTTACTCCATCATGGCCAATTTCTCATTAAATATCTGCATACGGTTACTAATCATTGTGAATTCCCTTTTGATCCCATTTAATATTTATTGAAGTTGCACTTAGTATTTAGGATGTTATAGGATGTATTTAATTGGACTGGTTTCAGTCCTAGACCAAAGCAGATTTCGACAAATGTAAAGTCACATAGAATGGACATTTACCGAACTAGATCAATTCAGACCATACCATACCATACCATACCAGGCTTAAACAGTCCAAACCAGAAAATTACAATCCAATTAAAAACATCCTTAGTTATTTATGTAGTTACGTCTATACATTGTTTTTCCCAGCATTGACTATCTTAAGGATGATTGTTTTTAAGCGTTATGCTGCCTTAGAAAATACGAAGCAAAATCATATTTAATTAAAACATTTTGAAAATTTACAGATTTTTTAGATTTTATCCTTTATTGAATAAAAAGTATATAAAAGTGACTTAGAAGTTGCAGCAATATCTAAAAAAGAATTTCCCTAGATCGGAGTAAAAAGAGGTGGTTCTCTATGTTTTTATCTCTGAATAGGAGATCCCGACAAATAAAGTGATAATATGACAGGATGGTTAGATGACTGTACTTTACTCCTATTTAGTGAAAAACAATGTACCCATATTTAGGGAAACAGCATTGTTTTGCTCCTATTTTGGGAAACTTCCCTATCTAAAATTGATTTTTGTAATCTTTCCTCAAATTTTCTTTCCATCCAAATCCCCCCCCCTCTATTTCCCCTTATTTTCTGTCCTTTACATTTTTTGGGGTTCCAAACTGTCCTCAGTGAATACTCTAGTCGTCATCTATTACAATGCTGAAAGTGATCTAAAGATAACATATTCTCACACAGATGAATTAAATCTTCAAATAAATGTTTGTGATTAAACACTGTTTTTTTAGAAGAACCAAAGTGAAGAATACGTTGATCTAAAAATCTAAAATTAAGACATGGATTGATCAATATAGGTGAATCTTGTGGACTGGTTGAAAATGATGGTTGGAAACAGGCGGTCCGAGGAAGTTGTCGATCCAAATATTGGTTCAAGGCCATCGACCCGAGCACTGAAGCGGGCCCTTTTGACTGCTTTGAGATGTGTTGATCCAGATTCCGAAAAGAGACCTAAAATGAGCCAAGTTGTTCGCATGCTTGAATCTGAGGAATACCCCGTCCCAAGAGAGGTCAGTTCCACAAATTTTCTTTTGTTTACTACTCCCTAAATGCGCATTTCCACGCTTCCAGTTTTTCTTAAGATGCCATCTATCTAACTATTAGGATGTTTTTACTTGGACTGGTTTCAGTTCCAGGCCAGACTTAAACATACAAAGCCAGACCAGTTGTAAAATACACACAGACCAGATATCTACCAAACTAGATTTAAATATACCAGATCAAATCAGACCAAACCATAAAATTTGAGTCCAATTAAAAACATCCTTAATGGTATGTGTATATGGAGGCAACAGGAGGGAAGGGCTTTGAAGGGATTAGTACTTCGTATGTTTCTAAAAATTATTAAAAGGTGATTGAAATGGTACACAATCACTGGCCACATATCGGTTTCTATTTTAAATATTATTTAATATATTAAACTAATAAACTTCTGTGACGAAAGAATCATAAAAATTAGCAATAAAATAAATAAATAATAAATAAATCAAAAGATGTGGCATTTTAGGTCTTTGATGGCTAATTTTCAATCATTTGAGTCCTAAGCCAATGCATTTTTCTTTAATAGGAGTAAAAACAATGCCGTTTCTGTAAATAGGTAAAAACAGCAACATCCAAGCCTTATTAATCTCAAAAGAATTTGGGGTGGGCTAACATGAATCGATCCATGATTTCAATGCTAAAAAAAGAAGAAAGATAAGGGGAAAAAAGTAAGATAAAATGACATAAGATAAAGATAAATATAAGATAATAATAACATAAGAATATAAGAAAGATAAAATATAAAAAGATAAAAGAGCATAACAAAGATAGAAGATAAAAATAATATAAGAACATAAAAAGATAATGAAGATAAACAATAAAAGAAAATAAGAGAGGAAAGATAGAAAAGAGATCAATCGTCCACACGAATGTGCAACCCACATTTTGCTCTCTCCAAAGTCATACTCTCATCCAACCCAAGAAGACGCATCTTTGTTCTGATTTCTCTCATCAAAGTCTGTTTGGGTCTTCCTCTCCCTCTCCTCCCTGCCTCTTCTCCCCACCTCTCAAGTCGTCTATACTCTCATCCAACCCAAGAAGACGCATATTTGTTCTGATTTCTCTCATCCAAGTCTGTTTGGGTCTTCCTCTCCCTCTCCTCCCTGCCTCTTCTCCCCACCTCTCAAGTCATTTAACAAGTGCATGACTCGGTCTTCTACGCACATGACCAAACCACCGCAAACGAGACTCCTGCATCTTATCTTCTGTAGGTACTACTCTCTCCTTTTGTTTGATTATCTCATTCATCAAGCGATCTTTTTCTGGTATGTCCACACATCCAACACAACATACGCATCTCTGCCACACTCATCTTTTGAATGTGACATTATTTCACCGCCCAACATTTTTCTGGTATGTCCACACATCCAACACATTAATGCATGCCTAATTGTTGTTTGATAAAATTTACCCTTCAATCTAGTCGGCGTACCTTGATCGCATAGAAATCCTGATGCACTCTTCCATTTCATCCACCCAGCTCTAATTCTATGGATACATCTCCATCTATTCACCATCCTTCTGAATTGTGGAGGCCAAGTAACGGAAACGTTTATGTAATAGGTGCATTACGTTTTTTCTCTTACATTAAGAGTAAGTACCACCATTCTGAAAAAAATACTCATATTATGAATTAATGACACAAAGCGTATTAGGACCAATATTTTTACTTAACTTTTTCAAACATTTCAAATTTGGTCTACTTTAATTTATCCACCATGCCCTACCCCCATATTTTAAGGGCCCGAAGTTCAAATATACCCTGCAGTTTTCACTCATTATTGTTGATACTTAGAGCCCGTTTGGTAGTTTACACATTAAAACTTTACATGCAAAGTGATTGCATGTAAAGTTTAGGGCTGTAAAATAGTTTGCATGTAAAATAGAAATACATTGTTTGGTCAGGTGTATAATCTATTTTTAAAATAGGCTTAAACTTTTTACATCCTAACGCCCAGCTCTTCTTTTACGCCCCTTGCCGAAGGATCTCCACACCTTCACCAATTGGAGCGGCACTCATGAGGTCCAGACTTGGAATTTCTTCGAGCATGAATATTCCTTGGAAGAATTGGAAGCTGTTGTGAAGGACTTCGTATGTTTGGATATACTTCTAAATAGGGAAGACAAAATGATATACTAGAAAATAATATTGCTCATATTGTTGTCGAGAAGGTGGGAAAATCTATGGAAATAATGGAATCAAGTCAGCAACTTTGATGTCGAAAAGGCTTACTCACTTCTTTGGCAGAGGTTTTACATGCTCTACGCAAATTGGAAAAGGACATCCAAGTAGAGAGGTTTTAATTCGGATTCATATACTACGTAGGTGGACTGGAGGAGAAAACCCGCGGCCAATGTTGCGTTGTATTCACAATTCACAATTCAATATTGCGTATATTTATTTTGCCTCATATTAACGGGTGTAAAGTAGTTTACGACCCTCCTCCCACGTAAAATATTTTACATGGTACAGTGTAAAATGTTGATAAAAAAATGCCCTACAGTTTACATTAAATAGTTAAAACAAACGGTGTAAAATGTTTACTTCCTTACACTTTACACGCAAAGTGTTTACTTTACATCGTAACAAACGGGCCCTTAACCTTGGCTGATTTTCCTCTTAAAACTCTCTAGGACCGAAGGCAGCGAAGAATTCGAGCAGGTGGCGGCAGAGAGAGTGAATCACAGTTCGAGAATTATGATACTGACAAGAGTGACAATCCAGATTCAAGATCAGAAAGTAAAAGGAATGAATCATGATCGTCAGATTCTCACCATTCTAGACAGGTTAAGGTAGTTTGTAAAGTATGTACTCGTCGAGATAAATAATCGGGAGTAATAATAATAATGATATAATAATGTATGATTCATTTGCATTAAGGTTGGGTAGTATGTGAGAGAAGGCTGGTGAGGCATAGGCACACTTGGTTTAAGGTGTTTTTCGTTTTTGTATTCAATTTCTCCATGCTCTGTTCCATCCTGGAATGTCCTTTCATGTATGATATATAATAGATCCTTAGATTTGTTTGTGTATAGGACAGTTGCTTAATTGGTATTGCATGATCTTTGATCGTTTTGTTCTCCTCCATACTTCCAAACCATTTCTTTTGGTATTCTGTAACTTGGTACCAGGTCATAGGACTGCCCGACTAGAATTTCCATTATTAAGGATGTCTCTTGTTGGTCTGCGTTTTTTATTACCGAATTTGGTCGGCTATTGTGTATTCCTGTTAGCGGATTTAAGGAGTGTTTGGGTTTGCTTAAAAAAAGCGCTTTTCAGCTTTTGGCTTAAAAAAAGTTGAAAAGAGTGTTTTCAAATGACAGCTTCTGCTTAAATTAATCACTTAAAAACTAAAAGCTGGAAGCAGGTAGAAGGGTGCTTTAAACTGCTTCTCACTTTTTCTATTACACAAAAAGTACTTATTTTACCAAACACTACCAACTTTTACTTTTCCAGAATCACTTTTTTCTCAAAAACTACCAACTTTTACTATTAATCACTTTTTCCAAAATCACTTAAAAAAATCATTTTTTTAAAGTTGAAGCAATTGCAAACACTCCCTTATTATTGTACTAGAAGAAGTACCCATGTGATGCACGAGATATAATGACGGATCCAGGAATAATTGAATAAAGGGTGGGGTGGGTTAAGCAATAAAAAAAATTATTACTGCACACAAAAGGTTAGCTTAGAACTGTTATCGAAGCGAGCTTTTTCCAAAATACTCGAGTTTGTGCGTGATTTCAAATTTAATTTAACGAGTCGAGCATAACGAGCTTTGAACTCGAATACGGGTTAGATTTTGAGTTCAAGTACAATTTTATAAAGGGAAAATGGAAACTAATAATTCAACCTTTTAGCAGTCTTCTTACAATAATCTCACCTTTTCGTTATTCAAGAATAATCCAACCTTTGCACCATATCTTCATTCGTTGGTCTATGAACGGTTAATGAACAGCTATTCCAAGTTATTTTCTTATCTTTTCAAAATATTATCTTTGTGAAATATGAGATTTATGGTATAATGGTTTGCAAAGATATGAAAATAACTTGGAATATCAGATCATCAACCGGCCAAGGACCAGTGAATGAAGATGAGGTGCAAAGGTTGGATTATTCATGAATAACGAAAAGGTGGGACTATTGTAAGAAAACCACTAAAAGGTTGGATTATTAGTTTCCATTTTCCCTTTTATAAATCTATTTAATGATTAATAAAGATTCTAGTATTTATCGGTATGAATTAAAATACTTTTATAAAAGTATAAAACTAATAAGTAAAAACAATCGGAGTAAACATAAGTAATAAGTATTCCCAATTTCAAAATTGAATTGAGGATTTAATTTGTTTTTTTACATTTCAAACAATATATAAATCATTCTCTAATCTTCAATTGTATAATAAATAAATCATTATATAATCTTTAATTCTATCTTTAATCATTATAAATTTATAATGAATAAACACCATTTTTTTATCTACTCAAAAATTCAATTAATAATCAAATATATTTACAAAACTAAAAAAAAGTAATACATAAAATAATAGATTAAAGGGCATTTAATGTATCATACCCAATGGACATTATCCTATGTGCACGTTCTTCTCTATGGTTTTGAGATTCGAAGTCATAATGTGTTGTCCTCTATTTATTTTTGTGTTGTACTACAGCTTGGATGTTGGACGAAAGAAATATTTAAGAACATTAAATGAAATGTACTGATTTGATGAAGGCCGAAAGTAATAATCCCATAAATTGAATTCGGGACCTCTTCCTTATGACACCTCTTCCCTACCAGATGAGTTACGTCCCGGTAAATAATTGTTTGCAAACACACCCATGAAAACATTTGAGTTTATTATGCATATATATGACTAAAAGCCGGTCCGTTTTCACAAATAGAACAAAAAAATAAACTATGTTTCATATGAATAAGGGAAAATGGAAACTAATAATCCAACCTTTTAGCGGTTTTCTTACAATAATCCAACCTTTTGGTTATTCATGAATAATCCAACCTTTGCACCTCATCTTCATTCACTGGCTCCCGATCGGTTGATGACCTGCTATTCGAAGCTATTTTCTTATCTTTGCAAAATATTATCTTTGTGAAAGATGAAATTTATGGTATAATGATTTGCAAAGATAAGAAAATAGCTTGGAATAGCAGTTCATCAACCGGTCAAGGACCAGTGAATGAAGATGTGGTGCAAAGGTTGGATTATTCATGAATAATCAAAAGGTGGGATTATTAAAAGAAGACCGCTAAAAGGTTGGGTTATTAGTTTCCATTTTCCCTATGAATAATTATGTGTGTCTTGGACAAATACTACCACCATTCTCTTTTAATTGCAACATTGGACTTTTTGCACTATTCACATATTCTACTTTGATTATATTTTATTAATTGATGTATTATAAATTAAATTATTAAAAAATATTGTTAAATTCTTCTCATTCTAAATTTTCAAAATACGAATTTTTTAATTTTTTTACTAATAAGGAATAAAAGATATTAATAGTCAAACGTGTGCATTGGCAAACGTGAAATGTTGACTGTTGCAATTAAAAGGGAACGGAGTAGTATATTCTTATAGCTATTGAAATGTTTTAATACATAATAAAATAATAATAAAATACTAAAAAAATTAATAAAAATAGTTTTTTAATTTTTTTTATAAAAAAAATAATTTTTAAAAAAATAAAAAAACGAAAAAAAAGAAAGAAATTCACCGCCGCCTATGCTGCCCAACACCACTACCTCCTGTCACGGGGGTTCTGAAAACATTTTATAATGTAGGAATACGAGTGATATTATACTACGTACGTAGTACCACACTTGAGATTGACATGGATCAGTTCCGGGTCGGGCCGAGCTTCGGGCCGATCCAAACCAGGCCTTTTTTGGGGGGGAGGTCCGGAACCGGCCCGGGATTCCACCGGGCCACGGGCCGGTCGGCCCGACACCGGTCCATCCCTTACTTGAGAAAGGTAATGATACTTTCGTTTTAATTAAAAAAGTAGTGCTACTGTAGGTACATGTATGCGCAAAACAGCTAAGCTAACAAAAATGGCAGAGTACGAACGATGGTGTTTATACACCTTTTATAATCAATGTTCAGATCTAATCAATCTGAATTCCCGGCCAGTTAAGCATGGCAAAAAAAAAGAGACACAGGGCCCGCCGCCGCAGCAAGTTCATAGAACAACAGAGTGAGGATGAAGATGACAAGCGGAGTGAGGATGACATCAATTTGGAAGTAGACGAAGATGGCATCGAATTGCTGAAAAGGGAGCTCCTGGGATCGTCGGATTGGGTCCACAACGTCGCCAGAAGTTACGATTGCAGCATTTTCTATGCAACGTCCTCGACCTCCGACCAAATACATCCGGATGAACCCAGAGTACTCATTTTTTGTATGTACCCATGCAAAGGGCAGCTTTTTTGTTTGTACTGCCTTACACGCCTAGCCTACAATGTTGTAATGTAAAGGCATTGTACTAGTTTTTGTTAAATTTTTTGTAAACTTAAAGGCAGACATGTATGGTATAAAGTCAAATGTAACAATCAAGCCACACATATTCACATACATTGGCAAGCACAGTAGGTAGAAAACACCTTTGGCATAGCCTCCTACACAAAATGAAAGTGGGTTAAGTGGGTGACACATGTTTAAAGGTATTAATGCAGCCTAAGTTTTAAGACACATAACCCATCATCAGTTTGGCTCCTTAGTTTAGCACACAACCACCACCATCATGACTACAAGGAATCAAATAAGCACACAAGCCACATCATCATCAGTATAAGGAATGAAATAAGCATACAAGGCACATCATCATAACTAAGGAATCCAATTCAATACTCCATTTCTCATTACAGAAAATCACATTGCCTCCTACACTTATTCTAAGTGGGAAGCACATGTAAAAACTCATTATCAGTTTGGTACCTCGATTAAGCACACAACCACCTTCATCATGACTACAAGGAATCAAATAAGCACACAAGGCCCATCATCATCAGTACAAGGAATGAAATAAGCATACGAGGCACATCATCATAATTAAGGAATCCAATGTTGGAAAAATGTGTGAAAAATTGCATTAAATGGCTATTTTGGGGCAATTTTTTGAGTGGGGTCCACTTCCGATTTGGGTCGGGTCAAAGTGGTTTCGAATTTTCCTTGCTTAGGGCTACAATTCGATATATGGTACGCTCAAAACGGATAACGGGTGAATGAGAAATTGTTTTTCAAAGTTTACCCGTTAGAAGGGAAAAAGGATGGGTTTCTAGTGTGTTAATTTCCCACACCGGAAAACCCAAGGGATTTGCAACCCTTTATAAAGGGACTCCCCCCTTAAGGAGTTAAGATTCCTAAGGGTAAAAGCTCTCTCCACGCGCGCAGGGGTGGGGGGGTGTGCAAATCAAATCCCGAATTCGGAGAAGAAAAACCGCGACTTGCGTGCGCAGGCGACCTGCGGACACGAATGTCGTCCAAAAATCCATCTCTCAAGAGATACGGGTAATTTTTGTTTTCTTCCCGAAACGTATATTTTTCCCAGTTAGCAGAAGGCTTCAATCAGAGACCCTCTTGGGGTCTTCTGATGGTCGCGGGACAGAGACCCTGTTGGGGTATTCTGGTGACCGCGTACCAGAACCCCTCGGGGTCTTCTGATTGGCCTCCGATCAGAACCCCTCCCGAGGTCTTCTGTCGCACTTCTGAAACGTTACAACAATTAATGCCCAACGTTCTTATCTTTTAATGCAGCGTTAAATGGACAGTTCATGGACGATTCAATGCCCAACGGACTGGTCATTGATGTCCAACGTTCAGGTCCATTAATTCACCATTTACTCACAACAAATCCTCCTATATAATGGCTGGCAGGTGGTTTGCAACAACACACGTTCTTACACGAATTCATACACTCCAAGCACCTTTTGCACCTAAAAAAACACACTGCTAGCATTCTGAAAAATTCATTCTGTGTTCAGACTTGTTCTCGTTCGCTGGAACTCTTGTTTGTGTGCTCAAACATTAGTTCGTAGTCATCGTATCCTGGGAAACGATTGTTGCAACGCTCCTAGCACCGTGGGAGGCAACAAATACGTTTTAAGGACATCGTGCGTAGCACGAGCTT